GGGCCTTAATCACTAGAATAGGGTTCTGGGGTATATGACGCTCTAATTACAGCAAGGAACGCCCAAAACCCGAGTCTAACTATTAAGGCCCCTATATTACTTGAATCCACATTCCTCAACGTGGCTGCAAAGGAACCTGAAGCTAAAACCCCGAAAACGCAAAGGGCCTCTGCCAGCAGAAGATGTGTTCCGGCACAGCGGAGGCTTTCCCTCCTGGCGCTCTGCTGACGGTTTTTCGTCTCCCTCAACCCTAATCCCTAAACCCAAGGGTCTAGGGCCAAACGGTTTCTGGTCTAACACCCGTCGGAGTCCCTTGAGGGGCTTCAGGCAGCTGTCTAGGGTTTAGGGTATAGGGTTTGAGGTTTAGGGGTTTAGGGTTTAGGAACTTCTGTCCCTGGAGAAATGAGGTTTGAGATCTTAGGATCCAGAAAGCTTTGCACTTGGGCTCGACATGTAGAGCCGCTCCGAAAGCAAGCTTCGGAAACGAGTCCTGCTCTAGGTCGCCGGTTTTCCCGCCAAACCCTAAACCCCAGCTTCTCTCGTCGGAGGTAAAACTCAATTCGAAAGGCGGTGCACCGCAAAAACCCTGGAAGCTTCAGTGAATAATGCCGATTCCAACTATCCTTCAGGAAGGTAGCCTAGGTTTAGAGGAACCCCCTCAGCAAGAAGCCGTAAATAAAGGCATCCAAAACATCCCTTGAACTCAAAACCCATAAACCCTAAACTACGAGAAAACCCTGAAAACCAAGGCCCAAAACCTAAAACCCTGCAGCAAGGCCCCAAAACAATCCCTTGTGCGCGGCTCCAGAGGGCCAGTAGAAGCCGCTCTTCTCCCCAGCAGAGCCTTCGGCCAAGTGGCTTCCGTGGCTTTGGGGTACAAGGGTTCAGGGCTTAGGGTTTCAGGGCTTCGGGCTTTAGGGGTTTAGGATTTACGGCGATGATAGAAAATTCGAGGTCCCAGCCGGCTATGTGTAAGTGTCGGCAGATTTGGAACTAGGGCTGGGCTGGGCTGGGCGCTGCACTGAGCTGGGAGAAACATGGGCGGAATTAGGGTGGATGAAGAGCTCGGCTTAGGGCCAAGATCTGATACCAAAGCTCACGAAATCCTCGTAGGAAAATGTCTCGGTTTCGAAATTTTCCCCAGAAGCCACGTCAGCTTCCTCTCAACACCCAGGCCCAGAAGCTTTTCAGCTCCTAAATCCCGAAACACCGACAGGTCAAGACAAAACCCTGAAGCCTGACCCTAAACCTTGAACCTTCCCAAGCCATGTTGATCCCGCAAAGCCTGTGCAAAGCAAAAGGTACCAGGACGACGTCGAAGGCCTCGCGCGGTTTGAAAAAGGGCTTTGAATGGAAGCCTACTGTAGGAGCCTTAATAATTAGAACGGGGTTTGGGGGTATCTAACACTATAACTATAATCAGGAACCCCCAAAATACTGTTGGTAACTGTTTAGGCACCTATATTAGACAATTGGGATTGCACTAAAGCTGTTTGATACTCTAGGTACATTAGCTAGCCCAAGCAAGACCCTATACAGAGGAGCTGAGCATCGTGGGGGCTAGGATTTGCAGCCTGTCGTTAAAAGCCCTTGATGAAAACCTTTACACAACCCGACTTTCAAAACCGGTCAGTCCATCCCTAAACCCTGAACCCTAAAGCCTAAACCCTAAACAAACTCTCCAAGTTCCTGCGACATGGACAATCTCAAGGTCCTTGGCTAGATCAAAGGGCTTTGGGCATTTGGAGAACTGCACTTGCGGGACGGAAGCCTAGCTTGTATAGAAGCCTGAAGCAGGGCTTTTGGCTGACTATGTATGGGAAGCCTACGGCAAGAAATAACCATCTATTCAGATTCACGCTCCCTATATTGGCTAATTACTTGAGAAGAGGACCACGGAAGCTAGGAGAAGGAAGTCTAGCCGGGACAGGGTGGGGCGCACAGCACTGTGAATCACCCGAGCGTGGCGACGGCTGGGCATATTTGTGTACAACATACAAAGATTTCTGGGTGTATTGGCATTTCCGGACCGCCTCCGAGTGGATCAAAGATTCAGCAATGTGCTCAGAATAGTCGAGGCAACCCAGTGTTTTTGTTTAAATGATGGCAGTAGTTGTGAATTTCGCTTGCATTACAAAAAGCTGGTCGAAGCTAGTGCCGATCTTTCTTCGTCGCAACAGCACCCATGCGCTACACAGAAGCATGTCAAACATGCTGGACCACGGACCTTCCGGTAGGATGGAGGCCATGGAGGCCCTCACTTCGGCGTTTAGCTACTACTGACAACTCCCGCATCCTCCGCAGAGCTCGTGAGCTGAGGCAAGGACTTGGGCCCTAAACCCCAAACCCGAAACCCCAAACCCCAAACCCTAAACCGAAATATTAAAACCTCTAGATTATGAAGCTCCCACGACAGTCCTCACACCTTATCAACCCTCTGAATAACTGTGCTCTGTCCGCTATAAACATCCGAAGCACTCAAGAGAAGCCGCAACCCACGCTTCGAAAGGCACAGGCTCAACAAAAGCCCTCCGAAATCCGAAACAACAGACCAGATTGGCAAACCCGAACCCTAAGCCCCAAACTCCAAACCCTAAACTCCTAAACCCCGAACCCTAACCCCTATTCTAAACCATAGATTTCTTTAAGGGAAGCCTGGTAGACCCCTTTAAAGGAAGCCCAAACCCTAAACCCT